ATGGATGTTAGCCCAGGGCCAGTCTTCCTCAGCAAAAAGAGGAGGATTGGCAGATGTTAGCTCAGGGCCGATCTTCCTCACAAAAAAATAAATAATAACTACCATTTTCTATATTAAAAAAATAGCTGTAAATGTCCATCTAAAGGTACATAGTTGAGACATATTACTTCTTGGCCAGAATCCTGATAGTACTTCACAGAAAATGTAAGAAATAGAAAGCATATACTTCTCTACAAATGGTCAGTCATCTTCTATGTCCCCTGACAAAAAGTCCTATCTTACTCATCTTCCATACACTTAATTTTGGTAATTCTTTGACTCCTCATAGCCCTTTTCCCAATATTTCATCAAGACAGCTATTTTATCCTCCATAACATTTGTTGGATCTTCATTTCCCTTCTCCCTGGACCAAATACTCTTCTTCTCTTCTAATGACTAGGACGTAGAAACTACATCTTCTGATTAGTCTTTTTCCCTCCAAGATGCCATCTTTTAATCCACAAAACTGTTTTTCTAAAGTGATCTCTCTGCTACTTTGATCACTCACATCTCTCTTAAAAACTCCAACATCTAGGGTATCTTCTACTTTAAATAATCTAAAACTGTTGAAATTCTTTAGTAATCATCTATTTATATTTAAGTAATTTAGTTTGGATTTTCCTAAATAATCTCTAGCATACAACCTCCTTATAATTGGTTTGGAAGAGCTCTACTACTTCTCAGTTTAGTTGGCAGACAAGTCCCAAGTATTCTCAGGAGTTGCAATAACCAAGAAGTTCCCTATAACATAAGCAGCTTCTCTGAAGATCTGAACAGTCGTTTGATCTGATCGTTAGGGAAAGAATAACACAGGAAGCCAGGTGCCACATACTGTCTTTTAAATACACCTTCTTGAACAAGCTCATTATGGATGTTGAGGAGTATCACTGGTGCCAGCCTTTCAGGGCTCCATATGTGACGGCAGACTAGTGTAATTTTGGTTTAGGTTGAGAAGGCAGACTGCTGTAATGGAAAGAGGACAGGATTTAAAATCGGAAGACCTGGGTTCACTGACTTTTTTGACCTTCAGCTTCCTTATCTGTAAAATGGGAAGAACTCTATCTATAATTACAATTTTGAGGATAAAATTAGAATATGAGCGTAAATGAATTAGACATGTTCGTATTGGTAGTCATAAGATGCTTTGGAAAAGAGCATAAGATCTTTGCGGGGAAAAATGTATCTCATGTTCATTATAGACATTCTTTTGTGATTGTGTATAATCAAGTCTAATTGGTTTATTATCAATGGAAAAGCTTAAATTAGTAGGGGGAAGAAATATTTGAGAAAGCATGCCTAGATGGAGCTTAGGAGTGAAGGCTCTACCCAATTAGAAGTCAGCATGAAGAACTGGGGTATCCATCTGGAAGCTAGAGGAATGGGATGTGGGGAAGGGACAAAGTGGAAAAAAGAGGAGACGGGATGGTGTTTTAGAAAAAGTTGCTTACTTCAAAAATAAGCAGTAGTGTGGTGAGCAAATAAGATGATAAGTTCAAAAGTCAGATTTCTGGCTTTGAATCCTGACTTTTTTCCTTATTAGTTAAGTGACCTTGGGGAGGTTAATCTCTCTGTGGGTATCATTATCCTCAGGAATAACAATACCTCTAAAGGGTTGTTATGAGGACTAGGTAACACACTTAAATCACTCAGCACTATAACTGCATACTGTAAATGCTCAATAAATGTTAGCTATTATTATTTATTTTTGCCAAGTCAATATATTTCGAGAAATTGAAATAGGACTAGACAAGATAGAAAAGATAATAATGTTGGAGCTTAATGCAAAAAAGTCATTTTTACATAATACACTCCTACTTCTTTTTTGTTATTGAAAATACACGTTATGTAGATCTGAAAAAATGCCTTAAAATGAGAGGTTACGGGAACACCACCAAAAGTTAGTGAACTCATATGACATAATTAAGGAACGTTCTCCTCTAGTGCCGTGATGTCCTTCGCCACAAGACATAATACATGGAAATGAGAAGGCTTTGTTTTACACAGGTTCTAAATAATGACCTCATTCAGCCAGTTTTTCTCATGCCCATTGAGCAGAGCAGATCTTCATTTACAGCCTTTCATCATCAAAATCTTATTAGACTTGGGTTGCACTTATCCAGATAATCCAGACCCACAGAGGCATAAGTAACAGTTTGACATTAGAGAAAAAAAATTAGAAAATGGAAATGGTGAAAACTTTCTCCCCTCATTCAGTGAAACAGAGTACAGTCAGGAGTCATTGAAAACTATACCAGTGTCCTTGATATCCTAACAGTGTTATATAACTTAAATCACAGGCGAGGTAAGACAAAAATTGAGACTTTATCCCTTTGATTCTTGTGCTTATTGTTAGAATAAAATGAATTCAAGCGTTTTCATAACAAAGCAAGAAAAAGAACCCCATAGGCCATTTACATGAAAGAACCCCATAGGCCATTTACATGAAAGGCCATTATCTAACTTTGTTTTGATTAAAAATTACTTTAAATGATTTCATCAAAAATAAAATAAATTAATAAATTTTCATGAAATAAATGTCAAACTATTAAATAGAGAGTTTTAAGATATTCTTTCAACATACTTTTAGTGATTACAATGTGATCATAATCTTATCAAGCTCTATCCAAGAGTTGGAGGAAATGTTCAAACTCTTGATTTGTTAGTAAAGGTTTTGAATAATCTATTGAAACCTACTAAGGATAAGTAAAGTTTAAAGCAAATAAAAAAATTTAAATTTCATCTGTAAAACTCAAAACGGCTTTTGTAATTCGGGTACCACAGACCGTGTAACAGTTGCATGGTAAGCTTATATTGTACTACTAATTTATTATCTACTATTTTGGTTAGAAAGTGGTGTCAGCTGTGGCATATTCAAATTTTCATTATAACATGGTTTTTCTATAACTGAAAAATCTATGGCTGGAAATAGCTCCGGAATAAGAATATGAGAGGCTAATCTCAAATTTACCTACAATATTTAGAGAAGTGCTTTATCTTAATATTCATATTTTAAATATATAAGAAACAAAGAAATACAAATACAAATAGATTTCTAAGCTTTCTTGCTGAACTAATTTGAATCCTGAAATACTGATACTATAAACAATTCAGTGTTACACTGGCATCAGTAGTAACCTACAAGGAATTAAAAATGAGTTGTAACTTAACTACAATCAATTCTCAATTATCCTCTCTAATGTGGGAGGGTAGTAACAGAGATAATCCCCAAATAATTATTTTACTTTGGAACACAATACAAGTTTTGTTTCTTTTCTTCTTTCTTCTCTCCATCAGATTTACTTGCATGATGTTTGAGTCAATTCATTAATTAATGTAGCAGCTTATGATTACATTGTGGATTGATTACAGCCAATGGTGTGTTAGTAAACTGGCTCTCCAGGAAAAAAAAAAGAAGGCTGATTTGTAGTATTTGCCAATTTCTATGGTATTAATACTCCTGTCACAGCCACTTTCAAGGGACAGGATGTCACAGCATGCTGAGTTGGGAGAGATGCGCAGAATTAGCTGTGGGAAGCTGTAAGAGCCAGCTCCAGCACATCTCCGACAGGGCAATAAACATCCTTAAAAGATTTTACACATATCATATAATCTTTGAGTGTATATAAGAGCTGACTGGTCTTCTGATATTAAACCTCCCAAGATTTAAATTAAATTCAACATTTAATTAGCAGATTGTATCTAACTGTGAGAATCTCTAGCAGAGTTAAATGACATTAGAGACAGGTTAGAGGCTGAGAGGTGGACTGTCTCGTATGGGGGGGACAACAGTGACATGACGTAATTTGAAGCTGGGCCACAGGTGGCTTATAGGGACTCTACAGGCTGGTGTCCCCAGTTGCTCTTACTTTTAGGCACTGACTACTATGTGCCTGCACAAATGATTACAGAATTAAGCACTTCCAAAATATCTGTAAATGGAACATCTATTACCACTTTATGCCTAAAAATGGTTCAAATTTAAAAAGTTAACTGCTGGTCATAATGACATCATATTTATATATCACAGACAGATTAGAGATAGGGCAAAATAATTATTTGTTTTGGGATTTTAAAAATGAGTACAAGTGATACATTTCCAAGTGTTTGTGCTAGTCTAGAGGGTCAATTGAGTACAGTCAATATGCACTGTATGTACAGATAACAGAAGTCACACCTGATTCCAGTTTACTTCTCAGGATATTTTTAGGTGTAATTTTTAAAAGACAAACTTTAGAAAAAGAAATGAGAAGCCAACTTGAAAGAGAAAAAGATATTGAAAAATATATCTTAGCATTTACTGAAAAGTCCTTTGCAGTCAGACTGATAGCCACCTCTAACAAAGTTCTTAAAAATTCTTAACAAGAAGCATAGAACAGTGTTTACTTGACAAGACATAGCCCATCTTTGGAAATCACAAATCCCTATTAACAGTGGCATAATGAGTGGGGTGGTGGGAGTGGTCTACCCGAGTGCAGCAAGAAGGTGCGTGTCTCTATGGAATTCAAAACAGTAACGAATAACCGTCACTCGACTTTTAATTTTCCACGCACTGGCAATCCTAAACAATGTCAAGGTGAATATTCCTCCCTTCCTTGATTGACTGCTCCTAGCACACCTCCCCCATGCCCCACCCCTGGTAAGCCACTCATTATTAATATTAGGAAGTTTAATTGTTTAAATCTATCCGAACTCTAAGGCATTAGCTATCTTTATCAAGTTAAAAGTTACAGCACTTCATGTAACATTGCAAATTATGAGGTTAAAAAATTCAGTGAAACTATCAAATAGTATTTTCAAATTTCCTGAAAATGATCTTTAAGTAAAAAATAACAGTATTTCCTTTTAATTAAGTTGGAAAGTCATGTTTTCTACAACAAGCAAGTTGATTTAACATAGACTATTATACGCGATCTTGCAGCCCCTGCCAGCAGAGCTGACATATTCAAATATATCATTTATATATATGAATTATTACTTTACTGGAGAAAAGGAGAAATATAAAATATATTTTTGGTTTCATCACTGTGACTCTAAAATGAAATGAGAAGTAGATTAACAAAATGGCAAATGGTATGAAGACCTCGTTGAGGTCTAATTATACCTCTGCGAGGTCTGAAAAGAGTGCTTGGCTCGTATTACGTCTCAGTGTATCCCAATAGCTTCTGGAGACAAGTTCCTCAGCATCTGTTTTAAGTACCTGTAGAAGTTTGAAGAAGCACAAGTGAAATCTAAAGAACAGTCACAAAGAATGATAATTTATACACTTTACATCTCTTCTAGCCAAGCTTGAAAAGAAAACACATTAGCTTACCTTTTTTGTTTTCTGCTGCACAGAACAGTATTATATTACACTGCTGGTAAACCCAGGGTAATTTCAAAGGTGTAATGGTATATAACTGCTATTTCCAAGTACAATGTGGCTTTGTCAAAAAGAATCACATTATCCACCCTCTCCCTCCATGCACTTCTACTGAAACGTGCGTAACTTCTAAGAAAGTGTGAAATAAAAATTTTATTCAAACCTTATGTGAAATAAATTCATTGGGAGAAGATTTTGGTAATTTTGTAGCAACCTATAAAAATCATGCTTAATTTAAAAATGAATTATCATTGGCTAGGACACACTGTGTTAGAGCATCAAAGAATCAAAATGACCATATCCGTACTTTAGAGAAACAAAACTTAAATTAATTCAAAACTTGTCAAAAAGAAATATGCCAGTTTAAGTCAAACCACTCAAAGCTACTCAGGGATTTGAACAGACAATGTACTTTCTAATCTATTACAAGGACAGAACACTAGCTCCTAGCTCTGTATTGGCTGATCAGAAGATGATATCAAGATTAATAAGTATAGTCTAATCTTCATATGAAAATGCAGAACTACAAGCATCACTTGGGTCTCTATAAACAAAAATAATTAAATGCCATTTCTGTCAGGATTTACCAGGGAAGATTTCACAGCTTCTCAGTCTTGGTGGTTGTGAGAATAAAATGCTGCATGATGTACTTAGGAGTGACTGGCTGATAATGGGAGAACTTTTATTTTTTTGTGTGTGTTAATTTTTAAAACTTTGGTTCCACTAATAAAATTATAATGCATCTGGGAATTATTTCAAAGATCTAAGTTTTAATTCATTATTATTAACTAGAAAACACTGCTTACTGCCATATTTTAATAAAATGTTAATAAAGTGTTATTTAGCAGGAATCAATTATATAACATAGAAATATTTATTACCATAAGTGTAAATGTAGCAATATGACAGAGAATCTGCTCATCACCTCCTTTAGTAACTAAATAAGCTTTAAGCAGTTATACGAGATAAGTAAAATTAGCTGAATATAGAACTAACACAGTTCATTTTTTTTCTATAGGTGTGGTAGAACCTCAAATAGCAGCTAGATTAAACACTCTGCAAATATTATCTAAATATTTTGAATGTGAGTATATTTTTTAATTGTAACTTAGAAGGTTAGTATATGATAAAGAAAGGGACTGTTAAACTTATCAAACTAGAAAATAATGCTTACTACACTATTATTAGAAGGGTAACAGGAATGATTCGCTTTGTGAAGCCATGTCTCTTCCCTACTTCAAAACACTGGTCACCATCTCTCACACACACACATACATACCACACACATGTATTGATGACATTAGAGAAATATTTACAACGTATTAAGGGATAAAATTAGTTTAAAAAACTATATTGACATAGATCTGTATAGAAAAAATATATTTTCTGAGCATAGTAAAGAAGTAAATATACTAAAATAAACTGATTATCTCTGAATGGTGAGATTAGGATATTTTTTATTTTCTTCTTTTTGCTTTCCTATATTTTAAAATATTTTAAGAATGTATATTTATCAGGATAATATATAAATTTTTAAAATAAAAAAAAATCTTATTTAGAACAGCTTAATAGTCCCCTCTTGCAGAAAGCTTTCCCATGCATCATTTAGCTCCAAAGATTAAATGATAGAACTGAATTGTTGTAACTGGCTCTATTTTTTTATCTTATACAGTCTTTTAATTTATAAAGTTTCTGAGGGAAGGGACAATATTCTCACAGCAACTATTGTATTAAGTAAATATATGATATAGAATCAACAGAAAAAATAGCTAATATATCAGTGATTTCCCAGGCACAGTCATAGATTGCTATACATATGTCTGTTCAGGAGCCAGTATTTAACTTTTTAATTAATGACTTGGATGATGAAATTAAGAGTAAATTTTCAGAATATGTAAAACTAATAAAAAACTTTGATACCAGGAAAATACAATAAGATATTTAAAATAAGTTTAAAGTAGCCATGAAAATTAGGAAGATTTTAATCGCAAGAAATGCAAAGCAAATACAAAACCAGAATATATGCATACAGGCTAAGGAACGACTGATAGGGAAAACGCCCAAACGTAACTGAGCATTGTAATAGTTATGAAACAGCTATTATAATGTTTTGATATGTAAACAGTAGGAAAATTTGCAAAGAAGTGTCTTTGATTACTATAAGAGCTTTAGGCCTCCTTACCAGAGTGTTAAGTGAGGTGTAGATCTTCATTAAAAGAGATAAAAGAAGACACAGATAGTTCAGAAGAACTTCAAAAATAGATGGCACAGGGCCGGCCCTGTGGCTTGGTGGTTAAGTGCGCGCGCTGCAATGCTGGTGGCCCGGGTTCGGATCCCGGGTGCGCATTGAGGCACCACTTCTCCGTCCATCCTGAGGCCGAGTCCCGCATACAGCAACTAGAAGGATGTGCAGCTATGACATACAACTATCTACTGGGGCTTTGGGGGGAAAAAATAAAATAAATAAAATCTTTAAAAAAAAAAAAAAATAGATGGCACAGGCAAAATGATGTCCCAAATCTTCTGTACCCTGTAAGTCTGATATATTTTTTTACCTAAGTTTAGAGCCTGCTATTAGTAGAACTTCCTTAAACTTAGCAGTTTTGGTCAAGAATTACCTAATGCCTTTTTGGCTGAGGCATAACAGGATCCTATTCAAGGCATTCTATGAGGGGAGGAAGGAAAGGAAGGAAGGAAGGAGGGAGGCAGGAGGAAAGGAGGGAGGGAGGGAAAGAAGGAGGGAGGGAGGGAGGGAGGGAGGGAGGAAGGAAGAAGCTGTCTTCTGAAAAATTCACATGTTGAAATCTTAACTCGCAAGTAATGGTATTAGGAGGAGGTGGGGCCTTTGGAAGGTGATTAGGTCACGAGGGTAGAGCCTTCACAGAAGGGATCAGTGCCTTTATTAAAAAGACCAGAGAGAGCTTCCTTGCCCCCTTCCACCATGTGAGGACACAGTGAGAAGGCACCGTCTATGAACCAAGAAGTAGGCCCTCATCAGACACCACACTGAATCTGCTACTCCATGATCTTGGACTTCCCAGCTTCCAGAGCTGTGAGAAATGTTTGTTCTTTATAAGCCATCCAGTTTATGGTATTTTTGTTATAACAGCCCAAATGGACTAAGACAGAAGGAAAGAAGGAAGGAAGGAAATAAAAGAAGGGAGAAAGGAAAGACAGAAGAAAGGAAGAAAAAAAGAAGTTAGGGGCTGGCCCCGTGGCTTAGCGGTTAAGTGCACGCGCTCTGCTACTAGCAGCCTGGGTTCCGCGCGCACCGACGCAGTGCTTCTCTGGCCATGCTGAGGCTGCGTCCCACATAGAGCAACTAGAAGGATGTGCAGCTATGACATACAACTATCTACTGTGGCTTTGGGGGAAAAATAAATAAATAAATAAATAAAATTAAAAAAAAAAAAAAAGTTAGGAAAAAATAAGACTGATTTAGAGTTGGGAATATATCACTGTGGTATACAGACTAATGGCTCCCTAAAGTTGTCCACGTCCAGATGGGCAAATACCCTATATAAAGTTAGAGTCTGAGAAAAGTTATACTCAGAGATTAGGCAAACTAGAAAACAAACCCCAAAGTAGCATATGTCTTTATAATCTGTGCCACTGTGACAACTGTGGCCTGAAAAATTAAATATGAGAGTTGTAATTTAAAGTTACATGGGGGGCCGGCCCTGTGGCATAGTGGTTAAGTTTGGTGCTCTCCGCTTCGGCGACCTGGGTTTGTGGGTTCGGATCCTGGGCATGGACCTATACCACTCGTCAGCCATGCTGTGGTGGCGTCCCACATACAAAATAGAGGAAGACTGTCACAGATGTTAGCTCAGGGCTAATCTTCCTCAAGCACAAAAAAAAAAAGAGGAAAATTGGCAACAGATGTTAGTTCAAGGTGAATCTTCCTCAGCAGAAAAAAAATAAATAAATAAAGTTACACAGGACTGCAGTTCCCCCCGGTGTGCCACAGAAACACACACGCACACACACACACACACACTCTCTTCCCAGGAAAAATACACCCTTAACTCAGCCCTTAAAGAATCCCACAAACACATTCCAACAAATACATGCTCACAATACAAAATTACTAAACACAAAAGAATATAAGCCACTGTGAGTGAGAACCAGCAGAAACAACAAACAGTAGACCTACAGACTTCAGATAATGACATTATTAGATAAAGAATATGAAACAAGTTTAATAAGTTTAAAGAATATGAAGCTGTATTTGAAATGATTCTTCAGGAAAAACAGACTACCAAAAGTTATTAGCCTGGTTAGAAAAAGAACCAAATAAAAGTTCTAGAAATTAAAAATGGAACCACTAAAATTTAATATATTATATACAGCTATAGCAAGAATTAGTGAACTGGAAGATAATATGAATAAATTATACAGAAGGCAGTGTGAAAGATAAAAATATGGCAGATCATTACAGAGAAGCGACATAGAAAAGATCATAAATATCTATGAAAGTTCCAGAAAGTAATAATAGAGAAAATGGGAAAGAGAAAATATTCAGAGACTTACTGGCAGTGAATATTCAAGAATTAATGAAAGAAAACAATCCTCATATTTGAGAAGCCCAATAAATTTCATGATAGTAAAAGCAAAAAGAGAGGTACACTGTAGTAAAACTGTAGAATACCAAAGGCAAACTGAATCTTAAAAGTAGCCAGAAAGAAAACAGATTATCTATAAAGGAATAATAGTTAGACTCAGAGCTGACTTTTTAATTTCAACAACAGAAGCCAGAAGACTGGAAAAATACCATAAGTTTTTGAGAATAAATGTCAACCCACAATAATATACCTAGTAAAATTATCTTTCAAAAG